ATGAGTTTTGTGGAGGTCCTCATTTCAGCTCTGAATGTATGCAAATGGCAAGTGCACAATATGTCTCTAATTTCAGCAAGCCTCAGCAGCAGAACAATCCTTACTCCAACACCTACAATCCTAGTAGGCGAAATCACCCAAACTTTTCTTGGAGTAATCAAGGGGCTCAAGACTTTAATGCAAGACCTCAAAACCCTCCTAGTTTCCAAGCAAAGTCATACCAATCTGCACCTAAGTCAGCAGCGGAGTCATGTTTGGAGAGAATTGAAAAATTGTTGAGTGATAATAATGAGCGGTCTAACAGATTAAAATCAAGGTTAGATCAATTGACTACTGCTCATAGGACCTTGGAGATGCAAGTGAGTAAAATGGCATCCGCCATGAATACTCGTGGGCAAGGTCAACTGCCAAGCAAGTCTGAAATCAACCCTCATGAAAATTGTAGTGCTATCATGTTGAGAAGTAGGAAGCAGTTGGCTGACAAGGAAGAACCAAAGACCACTGAAGTGAATGTGACCATTGAGGAGAAAAGATATATGTGCCACCACCGCTTAAACCTTATGTTCCAGCAGTGCCTTTTCCATAGAGACTCCATATGACGAAGCAAGATAAGCTATTTGAGAAATTTCTGAAAATTTTTAGGCAATTGCATATTAACATTTCTTTTGCAGATGCTTTAGCTCTGATTCCTGCTTATGGGAAGTTCTTCAAGGAGATCATCTCCAACCAAAGGAAAGTGGAAGACTTTGAGACAATTGCATTATCTGAAAAGCGTAGTGCTGTTATTCAGAAGAAGTTGCCTCTAAAATTGAGTGATCCAGGGAGTTTCTCTATTCCTATCTCTATGGGTGATGTTTGTTTTGATAAAGATTTATGTGATTTAGGTGCTAGTGTTTCATTGATGCCTTTATCTGTTTGTAGAAAGCTTGGGTTGAAACATTTGAATCAACTAACATCACTTTGCAGTTAGCTCATAGATCCATAACTCATCCGAAAGGGATTTTGGAAAATGTGTTGGTAAAAGTGAAGAAGTTTTATATCCCTCTTAATTTTGTTGTGTTAGATATGGAAGAAGATGCTAATGTGCCAATTATTTTAGGTCGACCATTTCTAGCCACAGCTGGTGCTGTTATAGATGTTAAAAAAGGGAGTTTAAAATTTCATATTGGAGAAGAATCTGTGGAGTTTACTTTTTCTGAAAATTACAAATGCCCTGCAGTTACTCATCATGTGTTTAGGGTAGATATTCTTGAGGAGCTAGATAAAACTGATGTTTTCATTGCTAATTCTAAAGATCCTCCTGACATATGTATCAATGATGTAGGCACAGATAGAAATGGAAGAAGAATGATGTATGAAAGAGTTTCACACTCTTTGATTGAGCGTCCACCTGATTGGTTAGCCACATAGTCTGGCTCATGACTTTAAAGAAGTGCTTATTGGGAGGCAACCCAATTCTTTATTTTGCTTTATTTTTCTTTTTCTTTCATTAATCAGTTGATGGTTAAGTTTTTTGTTCCTGATTATCTGGAGATCTCTGATTACTAGATTTTCGTGGTGTTTCTTAATCATCTGTTTTTAGGTTTATTTTTCTAATTTATTTTAGTTTGCAATTAGGTTTGTTGGAAGGGCGCAACTCTGGTTTCCATGCTGCTGAAAATGAAACATCCAAAATTCTGAAGAAGTTGGTCGTGTGCTTAGATAGCAGTTGCAACAGTTTATTCAACAATTCCGATCCTCCGCTTCACATTCCCAAGGTTGTGTCGTTTCTTTTCATTCTTTTTGTTTATGTCTTTTCTTTTCTTTTCACTTGGTTGTCTTGTCTTTTGTGTTTTATACATTGAGGCAATGTATGCTTTAAGTGTGGGGGAGAGGAATATTTGTGTTTTATATTTGAGTTTTGTGTTTTAAAAAAAATAAAAAAAACACCCATAAAAATTGAAAAATCCAAAAAGGCCAATGATGAAGATGGTTTATCTATAACATGTAAGAATTAGACTATTTTGAATTGTATTGCTTAACTTGTGTAATTCAATATGTTGCTTTGAATACCCTGCTTTTTATGCACTTAGTCGTGACTGTGGGATAAGCCTAAAGTGAGACATAGTTTCATGAGTTTGATGTAGATATGCCATGAAAAGTTGTTTGATTCACTCATACTTATATGATTTGTATGTGGAACCCATCATGTTGTGAAGAAAAAGCAACGCATTAACCCAATATTAGCCTTAAAAAACCTTATTGCTTTGACACTTTGTGTTAAGTAAGTTTGGGGGAGGGGTGTTGGCGGATGGTTCTGAGGTTAGATTAATTTTAATGAGGGAGAAAAGAAGAGCATTCAATATTGATGCTAGCCCATTGAGAGGTGAGGAATTGGCAACCTGAGCAGAGAGTCCTCAGGCCCGGTGAGGAAAAATAGACATGTAGACTGCCCTAAGTTGCTGAGCCACTATGTATAGGAGTGGAAAAATGCTCTGGGTAGTGGCCTGAGTTGGAAAGAGTCCTGAAAAAAAGCCGCATGGACCGAAGAATGGGTTACGAGGGGGAATAGGTTATTTGTGAGATAAGTCCTTCTACTTCTTAGTATGTCTGGCGGTCCATTGCATTGAAATATGGTATAAAATGTGAGTCTGTTGTTAAAGCAAAATGGCATATTTGCAGTAGAGATTTTGTTTTCTATGTTAAATGTAAAGTGATGTCCCTAAGAAATGAATCGCGCACACACACAAGCGTGGGGGCTAAAAGTGCATATGGTTTGCATTTTGTTAGGTAGTGTATATTAGAGGTAGTCGAGGTCTTTCTGTTATATGATATTAAATCTCTGAGGGCGCTGAATTAAATAACTAAGTGTTTTTGTTTGTTTTAATTCTTGGGCATGCTTGAGGACAAACAATAATTCAAGTTTGGGTGTATTTGATATGCATATATTTTACTAATTTATTATATCCCTAATTTGTGATTTTTGCTACTATTTTGAATACAAATATGCTATTTATATGATTTTATCTTTATTTGTAGGTTTTGTACTCAAATGGAAGAATTGTGGAGGTTTCGGACTATATTGAAAAGAAAGAGCAACTAAAAAGGGCCTAAATGAAGATTGTAAGAACTAATGAGGAAGAAATCACAAGACTTGAAGATTTGGAGGAGTTTTAATTTAAATTGGCTTGAAAAAAAATAACTCTCTTATTCCTGAAGAAATAGGGTTTGACAAAAGCCTATAAAAAGAAGATTTAGGGTTTTATTTTTGGTGGCAGAGTCTTAACCAAAAATCCTCCACCGACCACCACTTTTTTTCCACCAATTCGGCAGCAGCCTCCATCTCTCTCTCCCATCATCATCACCACCTTGCTTCCTCTCCTCCACTTCCATGCATCACCGCAGCACACCACCCATCACCATCACTCCAAGTCACCTCTCGCACCAATCCATCAAAGTGGAAGCTTCAGCAGCCCAAAAGAACCAAGCGGCAGCCGTAGACTTCATGTTTTCAATTCGGCGGCTTTATTCTTATCCCGGGTTTTTGGTGTTTTAATTATTTTAATCTCAGATTTGTATGGGCGATGTCTCTAAATATTATTGAATTATTTTTAATAATGTTTAGTGGCTAAATTTCTTTAACCTAGGCTTGGATGTAGCAGCTGGATTTATTTGGTTAATTTGGCTCATTATTATTTGATTTTCCCATCAATTAATATTTGTTATTCTTGTTTTCATTCGTGCAAGTAATTGGCCACTATTTACATGTCTGAAGATACTAATCGAAGTAGCCAGAGTGGAAGATTAGTATTAGTTCGTATGAATAATAGACTTAGGGTGTAAGCTACAAGAGTAAGATTATAACCTTTGCAACGTTTGATTCTTAATGGTCTTAATGTGCTTTTGTTAATCCATATAGTCACGAGAGTAGACATAGGGTTAATCTAAGTAAGAGAATTATAACACGAGAGTGTATTGTGCTTACTTAGGTGAATCGTTGTGAGATTAATGGAAGTTAAAAGTCAAATACTTATGAATTGAACCAAATCAAATATTTGGTAGGTGAACCCAATGTCCTAGGTTTTCCCAACTTGATTGTTTCAACCTTTGAAAGTAATTGCAATTTTAGATTTTTAGGTTTAGTTTTATTTAATCCAAAAATTTGAAATCATCATTTATCTAGATAATAATAGGAGTAATTTATACCTGGTAGTTAGTATTCCTTCTCTGTGGGTACGACCCTGTTTTCCGCTATACTAGTGTTAAGTAGGTGAATTTATTTGAATAGTTGTGACGACGACTTGTCATGCAACAACATTTTTTGGAACCGACAGACCTTTGGTTTGTTATCTCCTTGCGCAGCAAAAAGGTGTAACAATGGACTGTGATCAGATGTGGACCTATTTGAGTTCTCAATAAAAGCGTTCGGGAAGAAATCATTCTACTCCTTTGAGATCAAACCTCGATCAAGTATCTTACTCACCCAACCATGATTCCTTGTGCCGCCCCATGTAAAATCCTCTCCTATTGCTGGAATTTCAAGAAGGTCGCAATCACAAATGCATTCATTAAACTCCGTCATTGCTGTATGATCCTGGACCGAAGCTCCAGAATATTTATCCAATGTCCGAATAACATTAAAATCACCAGCTACCATCCAAGGGGAGCTTAAGTACCTCTGCCTAAAACTAAATAAATCTCTCCACAAAGGCCGCCTAGCCAACCTGCTTGTTTTTGCTTATACCACAGAAAGATTAAACTTTTCAGAGATATTAAAATGTGTAACCTTAAAATATAACACCTACCCGTTGTCCTCTACCAAGGTAACTGAGAACTCTTTTTGACAAAAAACCCAAATCTTCCCCGAAACTGAGGCAAAAGCTATATCAAAATTCAAATCCCTTTTTATTCCGTCTAGCTGACTGCTATCTAACATAGGTTCCAAAACAATCAAAAAAGAAACCTCATGCATACTTATTAGAGCTTTCAAATGCCGTCGAGACGCTTGATTTTTGATTCCCCTAAGATTCCAGATTAATTGACTTATCATGGGAAAAATTTGGAATTACACCACTACTTATTGCAAACGCGGAGATCGCCTGGGAACCAGCCCAGCCTGCATTCTCGCTCTTCCTTCTTTTGATTTTTGACCATGGTTCTTCGGTGTGGGACTCTCCCCTTGCGTTGAGTCCTGAGCTTGAGCGGTCATCCAAATCACTTTCTGTCCAAACGCCCCGATCAATATCATCAACGTCCTCAGTTTCATAGTTCTTACCAATTTCCCCATCATCAAAACATTTTTTAACCCCCAAGGACTCACCGCTAACCAGTTTTTGCAAAGCATTCCGCATATCATCACATTTGGAGCTTCTTTTATCGCCGAGTTCTTCAGCAAACACTTCTTCAACGTCTTCCTCCTCCTCCACATTCACAACTTCATTTTCGACTTCCTCAATCATTTCCAAAGCTACAAACCAATTAGAGCTAACCGTAATGGGCATACCGTCAGATGAGATATCCGCAGGAACAACACTTTTTCCGCTATCGACTATCCCGATGTCAAACCGTCAATGGGCGTTTCAAGGGTTTGTGCAAGTAGGATTTGCGCAAATAGGGTTTGCGGAGGAAGGGATTGTGACTCCACGTCTTCTACTTCAGAGGGCTACGACTCCAAACCCCAAACAATTAGAGGCTGCATTTTAACTATTTCAACTTCCAGCCTAGTTTTTTCTTCATTTTTTCGAGGTTTTAAGCTCAGCTTTGGCGGGTGAATCTAAATACCTTTCTTCTTGGTTATCAAACTCGCATCTTTTTCTGAATCTATCTTCAAAGCCGTCGGCTTTCCCATCCGACAACTATCTGATTTATGCCCAACTTTACAACACTTCGAGCAACAGAAAGGGACATGCTCGTAGGTGAAATCATGTTCATGCTTCCTTCCTTTCTTTCCGATCCTGATTCGGAAGCTCTTTGGTGAGATCAACATCGACACAAAAACGAGCAATCAATGGCCTTGTCGTATTAAATGTGGGCGTGTCCACTTTCAAGGGTTGTCCAATCGCCGTTGCCATTGAATAGATAATGTCTAGATGCATATACTCAATCAGAAGATCAGAAAGAGAGACCCAGATTGATACTACCAGCGGATCTTCTTCGAAAACAAACTCTGGCTTCCATTTTAGGATCCTCATTGAAAATCCAGCTATATTCCAAAAGGGGTGAATCCAACACCTTTGGTAATCTTCTTGTTGATCAAAGCGTATCAAGATGTGTCTAGAGTTCATAAGGCCTAGTTTATCTCTTCCATCTTGGGATGACCATAAGAGAATTTTTCGACCGAGCTTAATCGGTGAGGGGCTATAAGCTTCTCGAACTCATCATCTTCAAATTCCAAAGTAGGGGTGCCATTGACAAACTTAACTTGCTTTATGAGGGATGAATCTTTCTCCAGGCCGGAAGCCTTGTGAAAGAAACTAGCTAAAGATCTTAGCGGATCGTTAGGGGTTGCCAGCCATGGTGCCAGCCATGGTGGCCGATGAGCAACCTTGTAGCCGTCACTTTTAGGGTTTCTGCTAGAGAGAACAAAGGGTATTTCAGGAAGCTAAAAGTTTTCTTTTAGCTTGTTTGCAAATGCCATCAAAGGTTAAAGTGCCTTATTAGTCCATGTATTAAGGCATACTTAAATGCCTCTACTAACTATTCTTCTAGTTGTGTTTTTCGGATTTCGCACACCTCAATCACAAAGGTTTGGTAGAAGTCCCACCCTAACCCAGTATTAATCGAGCACCAGTGATGGCAATTGTCGAAGAAGGCAACACTGATGACACCTTTCGTTCAGTTCCTACAAACAATACTTTGCCCAATAATAAGTCTGAAGCCTGAGCTATAAAGCTGAAAGCTGTGAAATACACACAGCATGATGGAGTGCTATACAAACATGGATATCTCTTGCCGTTATTACAGTGTGCAAGTCCTCGACAAGCTGAATATATCCTCGAGGGGGTTCATGACTGATCATGTGGGGCAAACATTGGCCCCCGAGGATTGACTAAAAAAATTCTTCGAGCAGGTTGCTTCTGGCCCACCATGTTCAAGGATGCATATCAGTTTACGCAAAAGTGCAACAGATGTCAAAGATTTTCTACCATCATTCGATAATCCCAACATGAGATGGTGACAACACAAAGTCCCTGACCGTGTTTTATCTATGGGGAATTAACATCATCGGGCGTAAAATGGGTAATCATAGCAGTAGATTTGTTTACTAAATGGGCCGAAGTAGAACCACTAGCCTTGATATCGGGGAGAAAATTTTTGCTGGAAAAACATTGTCTTTCGTTTTGGTGTACCCAAGGTAATTGTCTCAGAAAATGGAAAACAATTCAAGAGTGACCATTTCAAATCTTGGTTTGCGGAGATGCAAATAGTCTACAAGCTAATGGACATGGGGAAACTATCAACAGAACCATCTTACATGAGACAAAGACTAGGCTACAAAGATTGAAGGGAGCATGGGCTAATGAGTTTCAACATGTTTTATGCCCTTATCGAACAACTATGCATACCCCGACAACTGAAGCAGTGTTACTAGTGGAAATTGGGCTACCTAGTCCTCCAACAATATGGTTTATAAACGAAGCCAATGATGAGAATATCATAGTGAACTTAGATCTGCTCGAAGAAAGGCGCGATGCTGTCAAAGTTCAAGAAGCGCGGTATAAGGAACTCCTAGCAAAACACTACAACAAGAAAGTTAGAAGCACTGACTTTGCTATAGCAGATCTGGTCCTGAGAAAGAACGAAGCCAGTCGAGCAGAGGTCGTGGGAAAGTTAGTGGAAAATTGAGAAGGACCTTATCGAGTGATCGATGCCTCTCCATCAGGGAGTTATCGACTACAAACAACCAATGATACTGAACAGATTCTCCCATGATGGTGAAACATGCAGAATCTTTGCATGTTCTACATTTGAATTTATATTTCTTCTTGCGTGCCTTCGTTGTGCTTTATGCACAATTGTTTGTTTTTTCTTGATATGTAATTCTAACCCGAGTCCACGAGTAATTATTTAATAAAATTCATGGCATATTTATAAACAAACTATATTCAGGAGCCTTTTGGTACGTAGGAATCGGATTTAGGGAAGCGGATTCAGTGCTCTACTGCTGTTTGGTTAGGTGGATACAGAATCTGGGGAATCGCTTGAATCCAAAAGATTGAATCCTACCTTTCCCCCGTTATTCACTTCGTTATTTTCTCTGTCGACATGTATAAATATGACTAGTCATTGAGGCAGACATCCTCTACAGGACCGTTTACGAAAGTGTCATGTATTCAATGCCCGGACATTTACGGGTCTTGCTACCCATAATTGTTACAACTAGTAGTTTAAACTAAACGAGGAACTCGTATGTAGTGTCCTTGAGAGAGCCACGTACTTAATATCTGGCCACATCAAAAGCTCTATAAAAATATACTAACTCATGACTTTCGATAGGTTCAAAGTTGGAAATCTTCATTTGCAATACATAAAGCGGGACAATTCCCCTGTTTTGTACAGTTGGCATAATCTATATTCGCCCTAATGAATTATAAGTACATCCTTCAATGGATTACCTCAAGATGAACACAACTTTAAACCCTCGATTTCAAAGTCACTATACATTGGTCTAACTTTTCTGTTAGACAGATGATTTCTATGTCAAGGGCATCAAGTGTCAGAAGCAATTCTTCTTGTGTGCTCTTGACATAAGGAAGTGCCCCATCTTTGGGTCTTTCTAAATTTGGGGCCAGAATCCCGTGCTCGATCAATACGTCTTGGAAAAATGTAACTTGCTTCTCGAGAAATTCCACGTCATTTATCCTTAGATTGAGAAACCCAACCAAGACATTGAATCTCGCAGTCCTAGCTCTTAGCTACAATTCAAGCCTCTTTAGGACTGCATATTTTTTCAAGTACACTATAGAAATGTTGATGTTTTTCTAGGCTCTTTCCTTTGTCAATTGCTTCACTTCCTCATGTAAATCCTGCTCGGATATGAGAAAATTGTTATAATCTTTTTTGAAAGAAGCTTTTCACTGTTGTGCTTCATCACAAAGCATTTCAATCCTCTTACATATTCGGCCTTCAGATCGGACGTTAGTTGCATTCATTGCATCGAGTAAGTCTAGCTCTATTTCTTTAACGATGCTTAGATCATGGATATTGCCCCTTTTCGTAAATATGCTTGAAACCATCGAGTAGAGGGGGAACTTTCGAGCATTATGATCATCTAAGATTACAACATGGACACGATGCGTAAGATAACTCCCCTATCAACACAAGTTAAAAGAACAAACGTTCATTACTTTTGCAGTAAGTCAAAGGGGAAAAGTTCTTTTAGGAATAGGGTTACAATTGTCAAGAGAGGTTGTACTTGAATACTTTATTGCAAAGATTACAGGGAAATTGGGGAAAAGACTCGTACAATGCTCGCAGGACCAATTCCCTATGAAATTGGATTGCCAACATTACCCTCAAAAGTTGCATGATCTTACTATTCTGGCACTGGTTGCAATCGATGCTCTCACATCGCCATCCCTCAATTCATCTTCTTCCTCAACTTCTTCTTCCTCTTCATCTTCTTCCTCGACCTAAGGAGTATTCTCCCTGTCCTCTAGTGCCTCGAGGATGTTTAACTTGTCAGGGGGTGGAGAATTTAGATATGCACAGATATCACCCGCCAGTTTTGGAAAGTGCAGCCCTAATAATCCCTAGTAAAGGGAATTGGCTCTCGTCGAGATGGAAAAATTCTTTCTCGAGGGTGTGATGCATAGCTTTTCAAGGATTTTCCTTCGGGTACTGTTTAATCCACTTTACTCTAATTACCTTGCCTTTAGCAAGCCTTTCAAGACCTGCAACAACTACATAGTGATATCTAGAGCTGAAAGACGGGAGGTTGACATTCTTCACTCTCTCAATCAACCCGGCAGTAGGCATTATTCTGTACAGGAAAGTGACTTACCAGTTGTACAAGTCTTCTTTCGAGATGTGGGAGTCTCATAAGGCTTTCAACTTGACGAGTCCAAATTAGTATGGCCCGCGACTAGGCCGGCCCAAGTTCGGTAAAAGGTCCAACCGGTCTCTGGAAATTTCTAGGTCGGTTCCTAATTACTTTCCTACCAAAAAAGGGCTCCATAAACTAGCTATATAAATAGGGATCAACCCCTCGTGGTTAAAGGTACACTCTGCGCACCACAATTCATGCCCTAATACAATTACTCTTACTGACTTAAGCATCGGAGTGTCTACCCTCGGGAGACCCCGATGCCCTCTTTTGCAGGTTTTAGGATTTCGATACCACCATGGCCGCCGGTTCAACCCTCGAGAGACGTCGGTAAAGATCCATGCTTCGTCACAACTATATATCAATAGCGTCGTATTTCTGTTGTGATTCCTCTATCTTCTTTTCTCTTGCGGAATGAAGCAGATGCAGCTTTTGATGCTAGTCTTCAAAGGTTGC